CGGGAGTGGGCGGCATACAAGACAAATAAATAAATAAATAAATAAATAAATAAATAAATAAATAAATAAATAAATAAATAAATAAAAGATAATAAGTAAATAAAGCAACTCCTATACTTGCAAAACATAAGGAGGGATTTGTTTAGAACACTCCTTCAACTTTTCCCTCAAACAGCAATTTTATGAGGTAGGTTGAGCTGAGAAAGATTCACCCAAAGTCACCTAAGGGGCTTCCATAGCTGAGTGTGAACTTGAATCTGGGTCATCCCAGTCTTATACAGGTAGTCCTTGTCTTACAACTATTCATTTAGTGGCTGTTCAAAGTTATAATGGCACTGAAAAAAGTGACTTATGACTGGTTTTCACAATTACAACCATTGCGGCATCCCAGTCATGTGATCAAAATTTGGATGCTTGGCAACTGGTTTGTATTTCTGACATGTCCCTGGGTCACGTGATCACCTTTTGCAACCTTCTGACAAGCAAAGTCAATGGGAAAGCCAGATTCACTTAACAGAGTTACTAAGTTAACAATTGCAGTGATTCACTTAACAACCATGGCAAGAAAGGTTGTAAAATAGGACAAAACTCACTTAACTGAGGACTTCCGGTTGTACTTCCAGTGCCTTCGGAAGCCTGATCCACGAGCTCTGTGGTCAGCTCTGACCTCTCCCTGTTGAAGCGTCCAAATTCGGACCATAGCCGCCCTTGAAGGGGTGGTGAAGTAAAGGGGGACCGTCTGGCAGGTAGAGGAGAGCCGCATCTCTCCTTCCTGACTTGGAAAGCCCCCTCATCTGAAGACAAGGAGCAGTGGCAGCCAAAATGGCTGCCATGAAGCCGGGGACAGTCTGAATACTCAAGATTGTGCTGGCATGGAGAAAGTGAATGGAGTGTGATCTGGGTGAGAAAATATTTTTTATTGGAAGTTGACCGCAGAAATCCAAGGGGGAAGCATATTTAAAGCTATTTGTTGAAGTGGCAACCAGGCACACAAGAAAAATACTGGCAAATTGAAGAAGGAAAAAACTCTGTTTTTTAAATGATAAATAAAAACGTGGTTCTCAAAGTTGATATTGATATCACTTGATATTGAGAGCATTTAAAATGCTGGAATTAAAGTCCCAAATTTCTTTTTACGAATATTGCCCAAATATTGGAGTTATAATTTAAAAATAATTGAAATTGGAACTGTCAACAATATTGCAGAGAGGCTGAAGCAGACAGAACCGAGAGCACCGTCTGCTGATGAAAAGGGAAATATGCAAGCTTGGAAATAACTATTCAAAAAGACTGAAAATATTTGTTTGGACACAGACCTACTCTAAAACCACTAGAGATTTGATTATTAACTAAGGACTTCAGTTAAGAGCCCCTGAACACCACTGAATATTATTGAACATATAAAGTAATTTGAAGAGGCGTGGATAACCTCCTGGTGATTTTAAATTGTTTGGACTGACTATTGATGAGACATTTAAAATTGTGACTTGGAAGTTTGGCTTTTTGAATTAATGAACTCTGGATAGTGGTCTAAAAAAGAGATTGACTAAACACAAATGCAACACAAGACGGAAGTGAGGGGAACCTAAACAGAATGGAGATTTTTCAAAGCATTGAGAAAATATTTGACCGCATAGACCAAACATTGGGAAATATAATACAAAGAATAATGGACAAGGATCAGGACAAGGAAGAAAGAATGGAGCCACCAGAAGAAACATGGATACAAACTCTCGAGAGTGGGCAGCATACAAATCCTAATAAATGTAAACGTAAACGTAAACATGGATGGTTTTGCATGCTGCCTGCATCCCACAGATGGAGCATTTCCTTGTTTGCACAGCCCGGTTTCCATGGACCAGTCCATGGATCGGTATCTATGATAAACTTCCTTTACTTCTTTGCTTTAATGGATTTTGCTTCCACCCAAACTATTTCCAGGCTAAATGTGTCAGGGTTCCAAATAGCATCCAAAATTAAATCAGAGTCTAAGGCAAAGTATTGCTCAAAGTTCCAATTTATTAAAAGAGCCATGTTGGCACATCTGGGAAAACCCGAATCTGAAAGCTTCCCGGTTTTCCCCACCCANGTGTCAGTACATACTCTAACTGTCCCCTATTCCTCCCTAGTACTGGTTTACTTAACAGGGGAGCCATGAAATATACTCCTGTTTCTTCCTTCTCAGGGTTTTTATCCATTTTCTCTTTGTCCCAGGCCCCCAACAGCTCCCCTAGGGGGGGTTCCATGGCCGCCCTTGAGCTACCGCTTCCCATGATCCCGCTCAGATGTGGGGCTCACTTCGTCCTAGCCGGGCTTGCCGCTTCGTATTCCCCGCTTCAAAATTTGCATCCTTAGAGGACCTTTTCGCACCCTTTTTAAAGGGACTTTTTCTTGCCCTACGAAGGGAACTCTTTCGCACCCTACGGAGGGACTTTTCGTGCCCTACAGAGGGATTTTTCGCGTTCCTCACCATGGGAACCTTCGCGCCCCTCTACACGGGGTCTTTCGCGCCCTTACTTGCAGGGACTTTCCAACAGTTTTCGAGTCCTGTGGAAAGACTCGGGAGGACCGGCCGTACAGCTACCCAGGAGGGGTTCTGTCATCAGCGGGTATGCACACCTTCTCTTTTCCTTTCTCTACCTTTTCTGGGCTTTATCTACAATTTACAATTTCCCTGGGATTTGTTTTTCCCCACTGGAATTGTTACCTTTTAACAATATGTTTTTCCCACTCGTTGCCCACTCAGCTGCTTTGGTATCCCTTTTCGTGAATCGGTTTCCACACTGCGACAAGAACCCCCCTTGCTTTCTTTGCTTTCTCAATCCTGCCAGTCACTGCCCTTTCGGACTAGCAGCAGGCTGAGGTGCGGCTGAGGGTTAGGCGGAGGAGGTGGATTCCGATCGCTACTTGTGGATCTGAGCCTTCTAACACACACACACACACACACACTTTTACTCCCCATGTTACCCTAAGTAAAAAAAAAAAAATGGAGTGGTACTCACCTCCTTTCAGGCAGCTGTAGAGCTCAAACTCCGGATCTCCCTTTACTATCCTTTTTAGCCATGCTGGGTCCATGGAAGTCCTTTTGCAGATGAAAACATCCGTGGCCGGCAGGAGAGCGATTCCTTGGGCCCGGCTTGGTGGTCGGGTGAGCTGAGAGTCCCTTCGTGGTTGCCAATTGTTGGAAGACAAAGGTTTCCTGTCCGTTCCCAGCTGGGAGTCACCACTGACGCTAAAAGAAAGTTTCGTGAAGACAGCTGCCTGGAAGTTATGAGTTTCATTGAGGAAAGAAAAACGGGAAGGATGAGACACAGCTCCATCATTCCCAGGTCTGCAGCACACCGTATACAGTTTGGTTTTCCCTTTTATACAGTTTTTCTTCCTTCAGGCTATTGTGTAAATTCGAATTTTACAAAAGTTCTTTTATTCTGGATGATTGCTCTGATCTTGATTCTGTTGTCTTTGGATTTCGCTCATCCGGTGTCTTGTCCTTGGGCTAATCCTATCATATAACACGAGGAGGGTGTTTTCCTGTTCGGATGCTTATACAAAGGTGTCTGCTCTATGTAAATAGTCATGATGTTTGTGTTATCTTAGAATTGGATTTTGTGTTTTTGTTATTCTGACCGGTCATTGCTAGATTCAGAGTTTTCCCCAACTTTGTTACCCTTTTCCTAATCCTATTATCCCATGTTTCTTTTGTGACCGAGTGTAACCTCT